GCAAAAGCCAAGAAAGCACCTTCACCCAACCTGTATACCCCTTTTAAAACTCCAGCCACTACTTCAACCCCAGACTGCTTTTCCACCCACAGAACCCTCCTCAAACAACAAATCCCTGTTCTGACCTGAGATCCCTTCCTTTACCTCTGTATGTCTCAGACTTCTCTTTCAATTGCAGTCCCTTCTGGAGCCCAGCCGCTCCCCCAATCCATCAGCATAGCAGAATGATCCCTAAACTTTAGCATATTTTAAGGATCATTGAAAGCAAATTCTCAGATTCCACTCCAGATATTATGACTCTATAGTCTGGAATGAGGTCTCTGGAATATGAATATTTACCATCATTTTAAGAGGTTTTGTTGTAGTTCTGAGAAGAAGAAGAAAAAAATAATGGAGGTGTGATAGGGCAGGAGGAAGTGAGCCTGGAAGAATGAAGGTAAGAATGGGGACTAGAGATGCGGCTATTACCTAGAATGTGTGAGGTCCTGAGTTTGACCCTCAGCAGGAGCAAGGAGAGTGAGACTGTATTGGTGAACTAGGTGTTTGATTTCATTCTAGTACTAATGTTCAGAAACTGTGTGATATTGGGTAAGACTCTTAAATACATTGAAGGCCTGTTTCCTCCTCTCACAAAGTGCAAAAATAACAGGATCCATGTTAGAGAAAGTGAAATAGTTATAGATAATGTTTCATGCAGGATTTGGTACCTACTCATTAAATGACATTATCGCCGTCTCCGTCATCGTCATCATCATCATCATCATCATCTTAATCTTGCAGATTTCTACCTCTTCCAAATTCATCCAATCCTCTCAGGAATTCCAACCACACTAAAACTTGTGTTACTTTTTCCCATCTCTGAGTATGGGAGAGGTTTCTTCCCTTATGCGGTTTCTGGTCAAAATTTCAATTACACAGCCAAGTGGGGCGGGGTCTAATGAAGCCTTTAAATGGCATTCCATTTTTCTCCCCAATCCCAGATTCAGAGAGGACCTTCTTTCCTCAATCCCAGGTTCAGAGAGAATCCAAATGGCTTTAGCATTTCCTACGGGAACAATAGTTGCAGTACCATATGTTGACAGGAGAGGGCTGCAATAGGTGGAGAACAGCTGTAGGAAAAAGACTTGGGAGAGGACAGAGCGGGCTTCTCAGGGCTATGGTGAGGGTGAGAAGGGATGATGATTATCTTTACGTCAAAGTTAGAATTGCACAAGCCTTTTTTCCTACAAAGAGTTTATCTTCTCTATGGGATTTGTACGGCCTATTATGCTGCCCTAAAGGGGTCTGTACTCCTACAATGATGTCTATTTACTCAGTGTAAGTATAGTTTGAGTACTTTTGAGATCTAGATTTCATTGTTTCTTTTTCTTTTTTTGTCAGTCATGGAGCTTGAACTCTTGGCCCCAGATCTGTCACTGAGCTCTTCAGCTCACTGCAAGTGAGTGCTCTACCACTTGAGCCATGTGCTACTTCTGGTTTTCTGGTGGTTAATTGGAGATGAGTCTCATGGACTTTTCTGGGGCTGGCTTTGAACCAAGATTCTCAGTTCTCAGCCTCCTGTGTAGCTAGGATTACAGGCATGAGCCACAATACCTGGCAATAGATCTAGATTTTTTTTTTTTTGTTGGTCATGGGGCTTGAACTCTGGGCCTGGGCACTGTCCCTCAGCTCTTCAGATGAAGGCTAGTGCTCTCCCACTTGGGCCACAGCAACACTTCCAGCTTTTTCTGTTTGTATGGTGCTGAGGGATTGAACCCAGGGCCTCATGCATGCAAAGCAAGCACTCTACCACTGAGCCACCTTTCCAGTCCAGATCTAGATTTCTTTTTCTGTTTTTCTTTTTCTTCTGTTTTTGGTCATGGGGCTTGAACTCTGGGCTTGGGCACTGTCCGTGAGTTCTTCAGCTCAAGGCGAGTGCTCTACCACTTGAGCCACAGCACCACTTCTGGTTTTCTAGTGGTTTATTGGTGATAAGAGTCTCATGGACTTTCCTGCCTAGGCTGGCTTTGAACCGTGATCCTCAGATCTCAGCCTCCTAAGTAGCTAGGATTATAGGCGTGAGCCACCAGCACCTGGCTCAGATCTAGATTTCTTAAAGTCTGTATTCTCTGTATTTCTGTATTTCCTCGGGGGGAAATCTATGTCCCTCCAATAGGGTCAGTGCCCTTCAATACTATTTATGTCCTATTAGCAGGGCTCAGAGATCTGAGTATCTCTAGCAAGTTACATACAAATTACATACTTCTGTAGTGGAGTCCATATACCTTTTTTGTTTTTTCTTGTCAGTCCTGTGGCCTGAACTCAGGGCCTAGGCAATGTCCCTGAGTTTCTTTTGCTCAAAGCACTTGAGCCACAGCACCACTTCTGGCCTTTTCTGTTTATATGGTACTGAGGAATCAAACACAGGGCTTCATGCATGCTAGGCAAGCACTCTACCATTAGCCCAGCCCTAAGTCCATATACCTGTAGGTGAAGTATATGTTCCATTTTTTAATTAAAAAAATTTTTTTTGCCAGTCCTTAGGCTTGAACTCAGGGCCTGGCCACTGTCCCTGAGCTTCTTCTTCTTCTGGTTTTTTTTTTTTTTTTGGTCTGGTCGTGGGGCCTGAACTCTGGGCCTGGGCACTGTCCCTCAGCTCTTCAGCTGAAGGCTAGCACTCTACCACTTGAGCCACAGCACCACTTCCAGCTTTTTTTTTCTTTTTGCTTATGTGGTGCTGAGGATTCGAACCCAGGGCCTCATGCATGCAAGGCAAGCGCTCTACCACTGAGCCACCTTCCCAGCCCCAAATTGGTACTAATTTTTTTTTTTGTTGGTCAGGGGGCTTGAACTCTTGGCCTAGGCACTGTACCTAAGTTCTTCAGCTCATGGCTAGTGTTCTACCACTTGAGCCATGGCTCCCTGAGCTTCTTTTTGCTCAAGGCTAGTGCTCTATCACTTGAGCCACAGACCTACTTCTGACCTTTTCTGTTTACGTGGTACTGGGGAATTGAACCAAGGCCTTCATGCTTGCTAGGCAAGCAGTCTACCACTAATCTACGTTCCCAGTCCATGTATGTTCTTTTAGTGTGGTTGATTTCTCCTTATTTTAGTCTGTGTCCACTCCTCCATGTTTGTATGCCTTCAGTGGGCCATCACTCCCTTCATGAATATGTAGTGGATCATATGTCTGTTCATAAGGATGTTTCTCTCAGCTTAGAATGTGCTGGGCTTTCTCCTGGGCAAAGAATAGGGAAGAGAATTAAAGGGAAGCAGGACTAGATGGGGTCACAGCCCTGTGTTAGACATCAGGAGATAAGGACTGATTGCTTCAGATTTCAGACTCACTACTGGAATTAGATATTAAAACAACAACAACAACAGGGCTGGGAAGGTGGCTCAGTGGTAGAGCGCTTGCCTAGCATGCCTGAGGCCCTGGGTTCGATTCCTCAGCACCACATAAGCAAAAAGAAAAAAAAAGCTGGAAGTGGTGCTGTGGCTCAAGTGGTAGAGTGCTAGCCTTAAGCTGAAGAGCTGAGGGACAATGCCCAAGCCCAGAGTTCAGGCCCCAGGAATGGACCGAACAACAACAACAACAACTTGTATCCTTAACAAGCAGTCTGAATTGTCAGGTGGGATGCTTCCTTCTTGATTAGTATAGATAATCTGGAGAAGGAGAGTCCAGCATACTCTTTTCTTTGTAAGTAGGATAAAGGGAAAAATAAATAAATAGGATAAAGGGAAGATAATTGAGCTAAAGAGATAAAGATATAATTGATATAATGATAAAGAGATAATTGAGCTCAAGTTGTGGTAGACGGACAATATCTCTAGGTAAAGTAACCAAACTGAGAGGCAAAGAAGTGAGTGTGAATGATCCTTTATAATTGCATAGACTTTGCCTTTTTACAAGCCTTAGTTTTAGCTGTGGAAGTAAAAACAGACGGGGGCAGGCACTGGTGGCTCATACCTGTAATCCTAGCTACTTTGGAGGCTGAGGATGGAGGTTCAAAGCCAGCTTAGGCAGGAAAGTCTGTGAGATTCTTATCTCCAATTAACCATCAGAAAACTGGAAGTGGAGCTGTGGTTCAAAACGGTAGAGCTCTAGCCTTGAACCCCAAAATTGAGTGCCCAAGCCCTGAGTTCAAGCCCCATGACCAATGAAAATAAACAAACAAATAACAATAAAACAAACATGAATCAGGGAGCCTAGGCTAGGTCCTAACTTGGTTTTCTCCTGGACCTTGAGAGTTACTCCCCTTTTCTGGGCTTACCATTTATACAATGAGAAGCCCTCACTTACTGAGACTTGTACTTTAGATCTGGATGAAGATTTGTAGAGGCTAAACAATAAAAATGTCCTCAGAGGTATGAGAACATTGGAGTTGGTCCGAGTTAGCAGTAGGTTGTGTTTTCAAGGTCGCAGGATTTTTCTGGCGGACTGAGTGGGAGGGTTGCTGAGGGCCAGGAGATGACCTGAGAGGGACGCAACTCCTCCCACCTTTAAACTCCGAGGGACAATTGGGCAATCAGACCCCGGGGCGACTCTAGGATGGGCCTGATCCAACTGCTCTCATTAGCTCAGCAGTTTCCTGCTTAAACCGCGCCCTAAACCAACCCATAAACTGTCTGTCCAAGACCCCAGTGTGGTCACTCCACGGCCTCGCCTCCTCTCCTGTTACATCCAGCCCAGTTACTCCCCATCTTTCCTGGGGCCCGCCTCCTCTCCTGTCACGCCTAGCCCTGCCCCTCTCCTGTCAGCCCACGGTCCCACCTCTCCCTGTCACTCCTAGCCCCGCCCCTTCTGCTTTAACAGTGGTTACACCCCTTCCGGCAAGTTAGCCCCGCCCCATCGCCGGCTTCTCTAGCTCTTGCTAACTCAGACCCCGCCCACACCATATAGGCCCCGCCCGCTACTGGCTTCCAGGCTCCGCCCCAAACAGGCCCCGCCCCTCGCCTGAGGCTTGGTCTCTACGGTCGGCCTGTTTTCCCTGCCTGGACAGCCGCGGCTTCTGCAAAGGCGGCGGGTGCTCGGAGCTTGGGGCGATGGGGCTTCCAGAGGAGCGGGGCCGAAGCGGGAGCGGGGCCGGGAATGGGGGCCGGGAGGAAGCTGGAGCCGGAGGCCGGGCTCGGAGTTGGTCTCCGCCGCCCACGGTCAGCCGCTCGGCGCACGTCCCCTCGCTGCAGCGCTACCGTGAGCTGCACCAGCGTTCGGTGGAGGAACCGCGGGGTGAGGCTGGGCCCCGGGCGGGCATGGGGGCGCCACTGAGGAGACAGCGGAGGCTCCCCCGGGAAGCTGAGGGTCCGTGAGGGGAGAGTGAAGGGCAGACCGGTGGCCGCTGGGGGAAACGGAGAGGGGGCTTCGGGAGAGGCAGAGGGGCTCCCCCAGGAGGAGGGTTCCCTGGAAGTTGGGGACCTCGCTGGTGACCTGGCAGTTTTGTGAAGATCAGTGGTTTCCGTGAGGAGAAGCGGCTTCTGTGAGGGGACTTGGGGCCTGGCGGAGGCTGGAACAGGGAGTTGGTGAGAAGAGGCGTCCTCGAGGGGCTCGCGGTGGTGGTGGGGATACCTTGGGAGAACAGAGCTTTCCTTTCAGGCTTTACCCGCTGAGAGCTGTAGCTGATCAAAACTGCGAGGTTTGACTCAGCAGGGGGTCTGCCTCCATTCTTGAGGTCCCAGGTCTCCAATTTAGCAGGATTCCCACCGGGCACCGGTTGCTCGGGTTTGTAATCCTAGCTACTCAGGACTCTGAGATCAGGGTTCCAAACCAGCGAGGCAGGAAAGTTCCTGAAACTCTTACCTCCAATTAGCTATCAAAAAGTTGGAAGTGGAGCTCTGGCTCAAGTGGTGGTAGATCTCCAGCCCTGACCAAAAAAGCTAAGGCACAGAGCTCAGGCCCTGAGTTCTAGCTCCAGTACTGGCGCGACACACACACACACACACACACCCCAGCACACACACACACACACACCAGCAGCAGCAATCTCAATAAAATGACCCAATATAAGACTGCTAAAAGGTCAATTTTTTGTTGTTGTTACTTAATTTGGTCTGGGATTGTAACTCAGATACTGATATACTTCCATGTCTTTTAAAAAATATGCCCGGAAACTTCCCTACCCTTGCCTTCAGACTGGGTAAGGGGCAAACTACTCCAGCTTGGAGTCATGGGGGGGGGGGCACATATGGGCCACAGATAAAAAATTTAGAAGAAAATGTAGAAGAAAATTTAGAAGAAAATGTAGAAGATGTAGAAAATGTAGAAGAAAATTTAGAAGAAAATGTGTGTGGTTGTGTGTGTGTGTGTGTGTGTGTGTGACTGGAACTCAAACTTGGTATCTGATGCTTTTGCTCATTAGCTGGCATTCTTCCAACTGAGCCATACCTCCAAGCCCAAAATACATAAATTTTAAATCTTGCCTCTGCCACTCATTCACTGTGGGGTCTTAAGGCAAATTTTTCAACCTGTCTGAGATTTATTTTATTCATTTGTAAGATAATATTTCATAGGATATAGGAGGACTACAGTGGGTAATTGTGTGTTATAGAGTGTCTGGTGCACAGTAAACATTGAATAAGAGTTGATTTGTTCAATAACATGGCAGAAAGCAGTTACTAAGGGAAAATATGGAATTAAGTGTGAGGTGCTGATTGCTGCAGGAGTGTTGAAGTTTGAGTGCTCAAAAACCTCTTATCATTTCTCTCTCTGTATTTTCTCCCATTAGGAGTTTATCTATTTCCCAGGAATTAGAATTAGTACCACACAATAACTCGTACATGATATATCTATTTTCCCAGCATTTCACTTTTATACTCTGGTCCCAAATTTCATAGGACTATAGAAACCATTTGTATCCATACAACTTGATGGTATACTATATTCAACACGACTGTGAATGAGGTCCACCAAGTTTTCCTTCCAAACATGCTTTCCTTCCTAATTTTCTAATTTCTGGCATTATCCCAGACCGGAAATCTCTTCTATTAGGATGTCCTCTAAAAGTATTTATCTATATCTCATCTATTTACAGATTACTTACTGCTTATAAAGCACAATTCCAGTTTGATTTGATGTGAGAACTGTTGGAATCCACATTTTCAGAGAAGGAAACTGAAGGTTAACTAACTTGTTCAGGGTCATTAAGTTAGTTAGTTAGTGGTGGAATTTGGATTTGAATCAACACATCTTGACTACAGAACCTGCCTATACTACTACAGATACCAATGCCATTGCTCACCACAGACCCCACAGTATGCTTTTCACCAACTTCTGTCCAATACTCCTTTAAAATGTCTCTGATTTCTCTCTTTTTCCATTCCTACAGATACTTTAAACTGAGGAAGTAGCCTCCCAATTTGTTCTTTCTCCTCCATAACCTTCAATCTCTCCTACTGGTTTATTTAACCATCTTTAAGTTTATATTTTGAAAACACTGCTTTCCCGCTACAATGCAAAAACTTTCAGTAGTTCCTAACTTCCTATATTTTCTAATTAAAATTCTACTTTTATTTGAGGCCTCAGGATAATCTAACCACACCCCACCTAATAATCCTTATCTCCGTCTTTTCCCTACCACACCTTTCATTCTAGGCAAACCATTCTCTTTGATATCCTAGATACACAAAAGTCCCCTCCTACCTCCTCACCTTTGCCTATTTCCTCACCTTTTTTTTTGGTTGGTTGTGGGACCTGAACTCTGGGCCTGGGCGCTGTCCCTCAGCTCTTCAGCTCAAAGCGCTCTACCACTTGAGCCTCAGCATTGCTTCCTCCTCACCTTCTTTTTACCCAAACTCCCCTGTCAATTCCATAATACATTCCCTGTTCATCCCAGGGAGATCATTTTTTTTTTCTGGTCTGAACTTTCAGTACTTAGAATGTGTGCAAAGGAAACATCCAGATTCTTATACACACACACACACACACACACACACACACAGAGAAAACACCTGTCACACAATAACACTTGTGTAAGTAGTAGTAGGAGATTCTTTTAATTATTTTCTAAAAGACAGTGAGCAAGTTAACAAAGTGATGACCCTGAAAGGCTTCTTTTACTTGTATTTTATCTAAAAATTTAATGACTAAATAAATTACGCTGACTGCCTATGCAATTACTGATGCTTACTATGCACACTAGGCATTATAGTATAGTGTGAATAGATGCCAAAATAGTAGATGGACATTTGGAGGACAAAAGCAATATTTTGAATTAAGATTCAGCATAAAGGAATGGATTGTCTGTTGGGGGAGTGGCAAGTAATAAGATTAGATAACTTGGTCTTGTATATAGACTAGTAAGCCATCTAATGATAAATATGTCTGAGAAGCTTGCTGATTTCTGTGCATGTTTTTGCAGAGTTTTGGGGAGACATTGCCAAGGAATTTTACTGGAAGAACCCGTGCTCTGGCCCATTCCTTCAGTACAACTTTGATGTGACTAAAGGAAAAATCTTCATTGAGTGGATGAAAGGAGCAACTACCAATATCTGCTACAATGTGCTGGATCGAAATGTCCATGAGAAAAAACTTGGAGATAAAGTTGCTTTTTACTGGTAAAAATATTTATATGTATAGTCGGTGTGCCTCATATTTATATAGAGTTGTCACATTTTACAATGTACTTCAACTTATTTCCTGCTAAGTGTTTAACCAGCTTAACTCATGTGATACTTAAAACAAACCAGTGGAATAAACAAAGTATTATTAACTTAATATCTTAAAGAGGAAAAATACCTTAAGGGTTATGTCAGATGACATAACCAGTATATGACAAAGTTGACATTAAAGCTGTGTCCTGATTTCTAGACTGTTTGTGCTGGAGAGGAAGGAAGACAGCAAGTAAATGAAAGAGAACAGGATAGACTAGCTTGTTTCTCATTCTTGCTTTGTGAGGAAAATGAGGTTTTGTGCTTGTCACTATTTCCATTGCCTTGTTGAGTTAGTTGTGTCATAGGCACTATGTTTAGGGGCTCTCAAATATTATTGAATATTATCTCACTTGTTCACAATAACTACAAAAGCACTATTTATTTCATTTTACATTTAGAAAACTGAAATTCTGAATTTAATGATTTATCTAAAATAAAACCCCTAGCAAGAAGTAAGGTTAAGATTCAAATCCAAGCAGTATAATTACAGAGCTAAAACTTTTAACCATGACCCTATCCTTCCTTTCTAACTCAACATCTTTGCAAAATAGTCATAAGAATCAAATAAGATGACGTAACAGCAATTTATTTATTCATTAGAAAACACTGTAGAAATGTCAGTGGTTATCATAGTATTGTTGCTGAATTAGGGGTCACTTTGCCTCTGAAATATACTGTTAGGTCTGTTGACGCTCTTATTTCCTGTTCTAAGACTTATGCTTGAGTGCCAAGGTAACATTTGAGCTCACTCCTGAGGCTTCTAAAAGATCAGAAAACCCATTTCAAATGTGCGTAAAATAGCTTTTATATGTCATGGGGTTATCAACTGAGATTGAATAGGATGACATAATAAATATCAGTTATTATTATGATTATTTGGACAGTAAGAAAATTAAGTCTGTTTGGAATAAAAAGTTATTCAAGGAACAGTTTATTAATTCAACAAATAATGAGAATTTATGTGCCAGGCACTATTCTGGTTTTATTTTATTTTTTTTTAAGATAGGGTCTTATTGTATAATGTAGGCTGGCCTTAAACTTGACATCCTCTGCCTCTTCAGTACTGGTATTATATGTGTGCTCTACCATGTCTGGCTCTAGGCACTACTCTGAACCAAAGAAAGTTCTGTCTCCTATCTTGGGTGAAGAGACAGTAAACAAAGAAAGCAAAGTAAGGAGTGCTATTGAAAAATACAGAGCAAATGAAAAGCCAAAGCCAATGAAGAGAGGTGATTGATAAAGGAAGAACCCTCAGCGAAGGTGACATTTAGGCAGATATTTTAAAGGGGATTGATGGAATGCATTCTGCAGATATTAGGTTGGAGAGGGGAAATGTTCCAGAAGATGGAAGAACAAGTGTCTGCTGCTGCCTGGTGTGCTTGAAGAAAGACTAGCTTGCAAGCTGATTAAATGCAAGCAGTGTGAGATAGAAAAAGGCAGAGTAACAGAGAGGCCAGCCAGATGCTGAGTAGAACATTGAAAGCTCATGCATGTAAGACTTTGGCTTTTATTCATGGTGAGATAAGAAACCATAGCTAATCTTAAGCATAGTTATGGTAATCATTTGGCTTATATTTAGGATATGTCCTTTGAATTGACAATAAACTATAAGAAGGGCAAAGTTGGAAGCAGAGAGACTAATTATAACACTAGTATAGAAATTTAAGTGAGGATGATGACACAGGACGTAGTAGTTGTGAAGGTGGCTAGAAGTGGTTGAAATCTAGATCTATTTTGAATCAAGAGCACACAGAATTTGCTGACATGGGCTGGATGTGGAGAGTGAAACCAGAGTCAAGGTCATTTTCAATAGTGAAGGAAGTCCAAGTATGGGAGATGACTACTTTTTGAGGTCTATGAAAGGATTTATGCAGGGGAATGATGTGGTCTCAGCTTGAGAAGATCACTTTCGACACCTAAGGAATAAGAGTGTAAGGCCAGAGAATAGAGAATTTATTATTTAGGGTAGACATGCCTGAATTGGAATGCTGCTGGTGGGAATGGAATAAAAAGATAAAAATTTGGAGTAATTTAGAGAAGCAAAACCAGCACAGGTAACCAAGTATGGATGTTGGGCAAGCACGGGAAGAAAGTTAGGGGGAAATGCCTCTTTTACAGGCACACATCTGATTTGAAGGTTAAATTTGTCCTTCAAAAGAAGACTTTGCTTCTTACTTTCCTTTTTTTTTTTTTTTT